AAAAAAAGTTGTCAGGTGCATTCAAAGTCTTAACCTTTCTTTTTATCGGTAAATGTAAATTTATAGATAAAACTAAAGTTCAAAGACCGATAATCGACAAACAACACCACAGTGGGTAACCGTATGCTCGGCTCCTCATTCGCGTGTGAATAGTCTTAGAGGACAACTACATGTCGATTGTGCACTCAAGACCCAAACCAATACAAAGAAAAACATAAGTACAAAAACTCTCCATGAAAAGGAAAATCTTATAAACCAAGGGTCTTCCTCTAATATTCCACATTATATAACACAAAATTTGTACGTACGTCCAAAGTCTAACCTTTAGTTTCATCTTTCCCGGAGTATATCGTGATCCTTTGACTTAGTTCTGTCAACCATATGTAAAATCAGATTCTTGCTAAAAAAAGTCAATAATGGAAACAGATGGATCATTTTAATTGGCTCGTTACTTGTTTTTGGGGCAGACACTGATTTTGTTGAGATAAACCCTGACAGCCAATGATTCTATAATTCTCACCTTAAAACTGTATCATTTCGAATTTATTATCAATACGATTTATTTTTTTTGTTTTTGGCATGACATTTGTTTCATTGATCACTAGATATGGAAGACAAAGTGCAGAGCATGCTTATGCTGATCGAGGAGGACTACAAGCGCCGGCCCGAGCTAATCACCACCGTGGAGGACTGCTACAAGGCCTTCCGGGCCCTGGCTGATCGATACGACCTCCTCTCCAAGGAGCTCCAGAACGTCTACCACACAATTGCAACTGTCTTTCCCGAGCAGGTCCAGCTCTCGATCGATGACTTGGACGGCCCAGACCCCAAAGCCAAAATCGTACCCGAAAAGGATTTAAAGACCATCGTCACCAAAGCTTCCAAGCAGCTCCGGGCCAAGAAACCTCGAAAGCCCGAGCTCAAATCATTGGACGAGATGACGAGGATCCAGAAGGACATATTAGCTCTTCAGGAGTTTGTGAAAAGCTCGAGCGAGAGCGGGCTAGTGAAATACTGGGGGACTGAGAATCAGATCATGGAGCTCCAGCAGAAGGTGTCGAGGCTTCAGGATGAGTTCGACATGGACACTGTCATCGAGGATGACGAGGCTCGAACCTTAATGGCTTTGGCCGCCCTCAGATCATGCCAGGAAACTCTGGCCATGCTTCAAGAGAAGCAGGAAAAAGTGACCCGCGAAGCCAAAGAGGAGTACAAGAGGACGGAGGCTGCCTGCCGGAGGCTGCCTGCCGGAGGCTACAGTCTCTCAGGGAGCGGTACTACCTTGACGACAAAAACCCGACCCAAGATGAAAATAATAGTCATAATATGAATGGGGACGAGGTGGATGAGTTGGTACGGGAGTTGAGTGGGATCGAGATGGAGGGGAACTTCGACATGACGAATCTGACAGTGGCCCAGGTAGCTGAGAAGATCGACCAGCTGGTAAACAGGGTGATCGGGATGGAGACTTCGGTCTCGTCCCAGATGGTGCTGGTCAACACGCTATGGGCTGAGACGGAAGTCCTGAATTTGAAGATACGGGGTTTGGAGGAGGAGAATGATTGTACGGTAGGTGGGGCCCACGACGTGGGCCAAAGGGTGAGGGAGGTGGAGGGCTAGCTGAACAAGGTTGTGGACCTCAACAAGAGTGTCGAGACCCAGGGCACCAGCCTTCTGACCAACTTTGCCGAGGCTCGACCTAACCTCGACTGTTTGTCCGAGAAGCTTAGCAGTGCAAAACCCGACGATACTCCGCCTGATGAAAATTCGATCAGGTGTCTTGAGGACTTGTGTACGCCAGTTACTGAAGTAATAAAGGACGTGAAGGAAGTTGGTATTAAACCTGTTGTAAAATCGGGCTTGCTTTCAGATGAGAAACCAATAATAACAGAAAAAATTACAACTGAGGAACGCCATTCTTGCGAAAATGGCGGGAAAATGGAGGAGAATACGGATGATGAGGACGTGACGTGGCAGGAGATGCTGCTGAGCGGGATGGATGACCGCGAGAAGATCCTCCTCAAGGAATACACGACGATCCTCAGAAACTACAAGGATGTGAAAAGGAAACTCGTCGAGATCGATAAGAAAGAAAAGGACATCCAGTTCGAGTCGGTGCTCCAAATCCGTGAGCTCAAGAACAGCATCCAGAAGAAGGATGACAAGATCCAGACCTTACGCCACAGATTATTCTCTAAAGAAGACACAACCAACCCAGCCCATCCCGTGGTCTCGGGCCAGGCCCAGAGGCTACTCCCCAAGGAAGACACCGACACGAGAAACGATGTCCCTTGCGCGAGCCCAGGCCCGGACGAGGCCAGTGAGATTAAGTCGGTTCTCGTGGACCAGACGCCGGTTGTGTCGAGAGCCGAGGAGAAGCTCTGAGCAGACATTGACGCCATACTGGATGAGAAACTCGACTTCTGGCTGAGGTTCAGCAACGAGTTCCACCAGATACAGAAGTTCCGGAGCGCGGTTCATGATCTAGAGAAGGAGATAGCTTTGCTGAGTGAAAAATGGAAACCCCATGGGAGCTCCCCGAGGCAGGCGAAGTCGGACGCACGGTCCGTTTACAAGCACCTGAGGGAGATCCGGCATGAGGTGGGGGTGTGGGTGGAGCAGAGCGGATCCCTCAGGGATGAGCTCAAGGTGAGGTTCGAATCTCTGTGTGGAATCCAGGACGAGATCACAAGGGCCCTGAGGGAGGACAAGATGAGGTTCAGCAACCACCAGGCGGCCATGTTCCAGGGAGAGGTCCTCAACATGAAACGGGAAAATAACAAGGTGAGGAAGGAGCTGAGCATGGGGTCAGACCACGTGCTCGAGCTCCAGCTGAGGATAGAGAAAACGCTGAGAAAGTTAAAGGAGGAGTTTGAGATGCAGGGTGAGGGCGTGAACCGGCCGCATGTCCCTCTGAGGTTCTTCTTGTTCGGTACGAAGCAGAAGAAGAAGCAGAAGCGCTCGATTTTCTCGTACATTCACCTGGGGAGACGGTACCAGGTGGTGAGGGCTAGCATAAGTTTCTCTACTCCAAAACATTGATGCCATTACTTTTTTTCTTTTCTTTTCTTTTATTTTCACAAAGCGCCTTCTTGGTTGCGCTTTAGCAGGTAGATTAGGAAAACCTTTGTTTCTGTTTATATTTTATACATTATTGGTAGTTTAAAAGATGGGCAGAAACTGCCCACAGCTTAAGTATATATGTCATTGCCATCAGGGTTGACATTGCACTTCATCTGGGCGGCAGTAAAAGGATTGAAAATTGAACACAGAAATGAATAGGAGGCTGAAACACTGAAAAGGGCAAAATTAGATAAATCGTACTCACAAAATTATATACTGTTTGTTCTTTAAGTGCTTTCAACGATATGCACCATCATCATCAGCTAGGAGGCTAAGACCAAAAATCAAGACGAGTATAGAATTAATACTAGTCGTACTAACAAGAACAAAACTAAATATTACAACCCGTACAGTCTCATGATTTAATCAATGAATGAAAGAATAAAAACGAAAAGCAATACATAATAGGCAATGTAAGATACGATCTAGACACTAGATCCATCGACCGCATCCCGCTGCTGGTTCTTCTTTCTCATGGCGACAACAAAATACTTAAGTGCTTCCAAGAAAAAGGCAACGATTCCAAAGGCTATGAGAAAAAAAGTGTAGGCTTGTTTCCACTTCTTCTGAGGGTCCAAGATTTCGAGACCCTTGAAAATGTTGACGATGCCAAGGACAATGACTGTGTAGCCTATTAAGTAGTGGTAGACATTCCAGTAGAATCTGTACTTGTGGTCGGGCTTGGGCCTGAAGAGGATGGCTGAAGCCTGGAGAGTGGCTAGGGCAAATATGGCGATGCCGATATTCCTGTGGACGGTGTGCTTGACTCCAGGGGAGTCGCGGCCGAGTTTGAGGCCCGTGCCCCATCCAGCCACACCCACTATGTAGGCTGAGGCTTGGCAGGTGACGTGCAGGTAGAACCACGCTGGGTTGGCGACGTTGAACACTTTTACGTACCTTGCAACCATGGCACCCACGGGCATCATTATTCCCCAGCTCACAACATTCAACCAACCGTGAATCTGGAGGAAGTATAAACAAACAAACAGGTTAATTAATTACTTAATTAATCACAAATATATCTATATAATTTTTAGTTTAATAATGTGTCTTCATATATAATTTCTTACATATTTAGATGAAGGGCGCCTTGAAGAAGTGCGTGTCTGTACTACACTGGTCCCCGTGGAAAAGTCGATGGTGGCGGTGGCACCAAGGTTTCCCGGGGCACTTCCGTGCATGCGGAGCTGGCCAGAGGAGGTAACAGGGCCGAACTGCCACACCTGTGGGAAGCTGGTCCTCCCCTGTGGCAGCTCGATGGTGGCACGTATGATCATCTCCTTATTCCCGAACTCGGCCGCCAGGGACGGGACTGCGAAGCTGAGGTTGCTGGGCTGGAGGGCCGTGCGGTAGGAGGTGATGGCGGAGGTGTAGGCACGGGGGGCACCGGACGAGGGGTCCACGTAGGCGATGAGGCACTGGGCCCCGATCATGCCCCTGCCGGTCGGGTTGAGGGCCCACGCGAGCCATTCGGAAGCCTGAGCCCCCGTGCGGCGGAAGGCTAGGTCGACGGTGTGGGTGGATGGGTGGTATGTCCAGTGGAGGAAGGAG